ACATATTGTATACGATAATTACTTCTGTCAAATAAAAATGTGTGTTTGATTTCTTGTATTTCTTGTATTTGCTTATATTCCGTCTTTTGCCATGTAGGGAACCTGTGTGAATAATTGATGATTTTTGCTTTAACATGAACAAGTTTTAAAGTTTTTCTAAATTTTCTAAATTTTTATGTGTTTTCTTACTCTGACTGTCATTCCCCATTTTGCTGTCATACAGATATAAAAAACTCTTCTCTGCCCTGTGTTTTTATAGCTGTGTACACAGACTGATGCCTGCAGCCAGAGCATTGAAATTGCACTGATGTACTACTGACCTGTAGGGCAGCAGCTCAGAAGCAAGGTCAAACCCTTTAGGAGGTAGGAAGCCAGTGCTCTCTACAGGAGTGCCAGAGTAAAGGCAGTGTTCATTGACAGGTATTATAAAGCTTGCTAGGCCCCTCCCTTCTCTAGGTATGGGGGTGGGGGCCGGCCGAAAGCGAGAGCTTCCCCTGGTGGCTACTGGAGGTCATTTTTATCTGTCTGGCCAAAAAAAATGTCGCACACTTTAATATTTCGCTGGACCGCCTTTAGCTTTGATTAAGGTGCACATTTGTCATGGCATTGTTTCCACATGCTTGTGCAACATGCACAGTCTTGCACACTCTTGGCATTCTCTCAGTCAGATTCATGAGGCATTGCCTGGGAATGGTTTTCAGTGAAGACGTGTGCCTTGTGAAGAGTTAATTTGTGGAATTTCTTGCCTTCTTAATGTGTTTGAGACCATCAGTTGTGTTGTGCAGAGGTAGGGTTGGTACACAGTTCTACACAGTGAATAGCCCTATTCAACTACTGTTCTACTTCACATTATGGCAAGAATCACTCAACTAAGTAAAGAGAAACGACAGTCCATCATTAAAGACATGAAGGTCAGTCAATCCGGAAAATTACAAGAACTTTGAATGTATCCTCAAGTGCAGACGCGAAAACCATCAAACGCCATGATGAAACTGGTTCTCATGAGGACCGCCACAGGAAAGGAAGACCAAGATTTGTGTTGCTGCAGAGGATAAGTTCTTTAGAGTTACCAGCCTCAGAAACCGCACATTAACAGCACCTCAGATTAGAGCCCACATAAATGCTTCTCAGAGTTCAAGGAGCAGGCACATCTCAACATCAACTGTTCAGAGGAGACTGCGTGAAGCAGGCCTTCATGGCCGAATCGCTGCAAAGAAACCATTACTGAGGAAGAACAACAAGATGAAGAGTCTTGCTTGAGCCAAGAAACACAAGGACTGGACATTGTACCAGTGGAAATCTCTACTTTGGTCTGATGAGTCCAAATTTGAGATTTTTGGATCCACCCGCCATGTCTTTGTGAGACGCAGAAAAGGTGAGCGGATGGTTCCTACTGTACATGTGTGGTTCCCACCGTGAAGCATGGAGGAGAAGGTGTGATGGTGTGGGGGTGCTTTGTTGGTGACACTGTTGGTGATTTATTCAAAATTCAAGGCACACTTAACCAGCACACCTACCACAGCATTCTGCAGCGACATGCCATCCCATCTGGTTTGCTCTTAGTGGGACCAGCATTTGTTGTTCAGCAGGACAATGACCCCAAACTCACCTCCAGGCTATGTAAGGACTATCTGACCAAGAAGGAGAGTGATGGAGTTCTGTGTCAGATGACCTGGCCTCCACAATCACCCGACCTAAACCCAACTGAGATGGTTTGGGATGAGTTGGACCGCAGAGTAAAGGCAAAGCAGCCAACATTTGCTCAGCAGCTCTGGGAACTCCTTCAAGACTGTTGGAAAACCATTTTCGGTCAATACCTCATGAATCTGATTGAGTGAAGGCCAAGAGTGTGCAAGGCTGTCATCAACGCAAAAGGTGGCTCCTTTGAAGAATCTAAAATATAAAACAAATTCTGGTTTGTTTAACACTTGCTTGTTTACTGCATAATTCCACATATGTTTCTTCATTGTTTTGAAGTCTTCAATATCCATCCATGTAGAAAACAATAAAAATATAAAGAAAAATCATTGAATGAGAAGGTGTTTGGCAAAACATTCATTTAAGGCATATTTTACATAAATAAAGGACATATATGACTAATGACACTTTCATTTAATATAGATTGCACATGAATATAGGACGGGGGCGGCACAATGGTGCAGTGGTTAGCACTGTCTCCTCTCATCTCTGGGACTTTCCTTTGCACGGCTTGGTGATCGCCAGTGTACAGCAGCCCCTCTTGCTCCTCAAAGGTGTCCCATTGGGAGTGGAAGGCCTTGGTTTCCCGGCCGGAGGCCGAGATCACATCCCAGCCTGGTTTCCTGTCCTCGCCTGGCCACTCCCTCACCCTGGCCAGCACGGGGTCACTGCCCTGCTCTGCGGCGGGCTGTTGGCGATTGAAATCACGGTGGGCCTGAGTGTGTGGCGCTGTGCGAGCGGCAGCCACTGTCACCACGAGCTGTCAGCTAAACGTCCGACTGAAGTATGCAACCCTGCTCCCCTTTGGCTGCCGCCTGTGACAGCACAGCGCCCAGCTCCTCATTACTAGTGTCCATGTCCAGGATGAAAGGGAGACATGCTAGCAGGGGGCATCGGCGAGTGCTGAGCAAAATGGCTTCCTTACTCTGTAAGACAGTGCAGCAGTTTCGCAATGCTGATGAAGTCCTTTACAAAGTGCCGACAGTTACGCAACAGCCACAAGAACTGGCTCAGCTGCATCGCATTGCACATTGTCAGCCACTCCTGCACCGCTTGCCGACGGCACTATGACTCCCACCGCTGCCATTTCTCTGGTATTCTGCGTGTGCAAACGAAACACTGTGGTGCATTAAAAGTGGGGGGGTGGTCAGGGCACGGTCTCTCCACTGCTGGCAGAAGGCGGAATCCCGCGCGCCCCTACCTTAAAATAAAAGAAATTATGGTGTATCAGCACGACATGGTGTGTATGGATAACTGAGGTGCATTAAAATTGGGTGAGCAGGCAGGGAATGAGCCCCCCACTGCTGGCAAATAGCAGATCCCCACGTGGCCCACTTGCCCCCCAAGACCCTAATGTGGTAGGATGACTATTGTGCAATTAAGATTGAGGGGCAGCGCACTGGCCAATTCCAGGGCCTCGCACCGCCCCCAGACCCTAGTGTATTGTGGTGTGTATGTAGGAGACTGGACGCAACTGGGGCATGCGAGGTATGGCCCCCTCCAAGAGGCCGGGTCCTCAACCGACCCCTCATCGATCCCCGTCCATGCCCCCACCCAGCCAGCAGGGAGCCGACCCGGACCGCCCTGGGAAGCCACCTCCCCACCCCCCCCCCCCCACAGCAGCAGGCTGGAGGGACGAAGACCCGCCACGAATAACGGGGCCCCAGTCCAGCCCTAAATAAAATCGAATGACTCATGAACTTTACAAATTAAAAGCTGCTACTTTTATCACACTTTTGCTTTGAGTTACGCTGATTTACTTTTACTTTTTACATACAACTTGGACATTAATTGAGCAGTAGTCCTTTCAATTATGAAAAAGGCCCCCATTTTTACCATCTGGATTAGTAAACAAAATAAGTATGAGTGTGAAAAGTTCATAGGTTGAACTTCATACATAATTTCATACAAAACTATATGGCCACACCAAAACAATGCAGTATGAAAGTTATTTGGTTATTTATTAGTTACTGGGGGGATCAATCATGATCAAAACAGGGCACATATATGAGCCACTCCATGTTCCTGATTCTTATTAAATCTGACCAGCAGATCGATCTTTCCACAATATAACCTTAACCCGCTAATAAGCGCTGGCAAGTTTCACTGCAGGCACGTTAGACAAAAGTATATCGGTTAGTGATCAAATTTTCCGATGCAGATATATGGAGACGCAGCACATGCTCATTGATGCCATCAACCACCTGCAAGGTAAGATCTGTTCCTATCACAATAAACTTCTGGAGGTCTATTTTCAAAATGATTAATAGCAGATCTGTTATCATTGTATGATGGATGAACGCAGAGACCGTGATACAGTGTCAGCTGCTGCAGGTCTGTAATCATCTTGAATCTTCTCTCAGATTGGACAGATTTGGCAGAGAAACAGGTAAATCCTGCAAGTTAAGATTCATAAAGTAAGATTAAATTTCAACACAGTTCATCAAAATGAATTTCATAAATATATGTAATTCTGTCTGTCAGAGACTGAAAACATGTGGTCAGGCGAATGGGATCTCCAAGCTAAATGGAACTTAAATTACATGTGCTGTTTTAAATTACATGTCCATCTGAGGATGCCACTCATGCAGTCGGTCTATTGAACGATTACGGTCTTCGGTCCGAAACTGATGTCATCAGACGGTGCCCAAATCTCCACCGGGTCTTTCAACCCTTATCTGCGATACCCTCCAGTTGGTGTGTTGGCAGTGGTGGCCAAATCACTGCCCATCAGCTCCAGAGCTCCAGCCCCTCTCTTCCCTTTTATGCCAGAGCTAACAAGAGGCTGTTTCTGCTGCCTCCCCAATCCTGCACATAACTGTTTTCCTCTCATTCCCAAATATACCCAGTGTAGTAAGTCCACATAGACTGTGTTGGGAGCCTTCTGCCTACAGCCTCGACAGGAAACAGCCATGTTTGCCAGCCTTTCTCTGCACTCATGAACAAGACCTTGGCTCATCCTCTCACGGGAGTCGTCACAGTCTTCTTCCCATGGGACAGTCAACTCCACAAGGATGACCTTCCTCGCCTGCTCTGAAGCAAAGACGAGCTTCTAAACAGACACAGAAATTAATTTGCAGTATCTCCTATACCTTTCTACATAATTTCTGCCTACAAAATCGAATAGAAGGATTATAGCATATTTGTGGAAAAACAATGTCAGTAACAGTTATACATAAAAGCTGAATTATTGTCTGTTGTGTGTATAGTTTTTATAATGTAATATGTTATTCATAAACTCCAAATCCTGCCTTCTCAGTCAGTCCAAAACCACACCTACTGCAGCCTGAGAAGCAGGAAATTCCTCCCACTCTCACACACAGACGACTGTGAGAGAAAACGAAACTGAATCCTATCAGTGCTTGTGGTAAAATGGCAGAAGCCAGTTCCACACTGGATCAGAACCAGATCAGCTGTCCGATCTGTCTGGATCCACTGAATGATCCAGTGACTACAGCCTGTGGACACAGTTACTGTATGAGCTGCATTAAGGACTTCTGGGATCAGGAGGATCATACTGGAGTTTACAGCTGCCCCCAGTGCAGACAGACCTTCGTACCCAGACCTGTACTGGGGAGAAACATCATACTGGCTGAAGTGATGGAGAGCCTGAAGAGAGATGTGGAGTGTGACGTCTGTACTGGGAGAAAACACAAAGCTGTCAAGTCCTGCCTGGTGTGTCTGGCCTCTTACTGTGAAACTCACCTCCAGCCTCACTATCAGTCTCCAGCTTTTAAGAAGCACAAGCTGACTGATGCCACTGGACGTCTGCAGGACAAGGTCTGTTCCCACCATGACAAACCCCTGGAGGTCTACTGCCGTACCGACCAGCAGTGTATCTGTTATCTCTGTACGATGGATGAACACAAAGGCCATGATACAGTCTCAGCTGCTGCAGGAAGGGCGGAGAAACAGGTCAGGCCAGAAATGATCTTATATAATTTATTAAATTTATTTGCAATGAAAATGGCTTTTGTCTTAACGTATTTGAGTGTATCTGCTATGAAGACGGCAAGATCAAGTCTGGTTTGGGAATGGAAGGAACATGTAATAGATAATGCAAGATGTTGTTATAATGTGTAAAAACTTCTCATTGAATTCCTGCAGAAAAATTCTTTAAACATAGAATCATGTGGCTGCTACTGAACACATACAGCAAGCAAAAAGGCTCCAGAGATTCACTTACAGTTTGGCTGAGCATCTGAATGGCTAAGATGTGTGAGCTAAGAGATTTTAAATGTAGTGTGATTGTCAAATGTGCTCATTCCAGTTACTCAGAAACAGCCACCATACTGGTGTTTTCACACACTACAGTGTGTAGAGTTTACTGAGAATGGTGCAGTAACATGAAACACCCAGACTATAGCAGATCTGTGTGAGAAAACACTTAATGAAAGAGGTCAGAAGATAATGGCCAGACTTGCTAAAGCTAACAGGAAGGCCACCAGTGCAAAACTAACAGCTCAGTAAGTAAATGGTGAGTCAAAGTGTCTATGTCCAATTTATCCTTATTACAGTCAATAAATATTTTAAGAAATCCATCCATCCATCTCCTAAAGATTTATCCCGGTCAGGGTCATGGGGACCTGGATCCATTCCCAGGCAGCATAGGGCCCAAGGCTGGGGTCCACCCTGGACAGGATGATTAATGGATATGATCTCAGCTAATGAAACAAACTTGTTTTGTCATCTTGTTTACAATCTGTAGAAACAAATGGATGAAAAACAGGGGAAATTTCAGCAGGCAATTCAGTTGAGAGAGAAGGAGCTGCAGGAGCTGAGAGAGGCTGTGGGCTCATTCACAGTGAGTATGAACCTGAGGAGAAGATAACAGTTGGTCTGTAATCATCTTGAATCTTCTCTCAGATTGAACAGATTTCAGATTTATAGACTTGTGGGGATTAGTCATGTTAAGGTCACTGTTGGTTAGTCTGGATCAGAGGATTGGTTGGATAAAGGTGCTAGATAGCAGGATTTAACCAACCTGGTGTTACAAGAGTTAGAAAATATACTTGTAATAACACCATTTAAGGCCCTTTTCAGAAAATACATATATTCCATCAACTGTGTAAAGCATATAAACACCACAAAGTCACCAATTAAACTGAATCATGGTGACAACCAACCTGCCCCACATGCAGCTGACAGTGTTTGAACTAAATGAGTGATCATTTCCAGTCAGTGCTGGCTGGGTTTCAGTACCTGAGGCATCCAGCATCGTGACGCTCCAAACCCCAGCCCTGTGCTGTTTTTATACCTCCTGTCGGTTCACATCACTATTGTACAATGAGGCTCTCTGGGGTCTCAAAAGGGGCCAATTGTAATTTACCATCCTCTGCTCCCTGTGTCACCAACAGAGCTCAGCACAGTCAACAGTGAAGGACAGCGAGAAGATCTTCATTGAGATTATGCGCTCCATTAAGAAAAGACGCTCTGATGTGAAAGAGCTGATCAGAGATCAGGAGAAGGCTGCAGTGAGTCAGGCTGAAGGACACATGGAGAGACTGGAGAAAGAGATAAATGAACTGAAGAGGAGACGCTCTGATTTGGAGCAGCTTTCACACACAGAGGATAACATCAATTTCCTCCAGGTAACAGAACAGCTACTGTACTTTGGCAATAAGAAAACCAGAGTATTCAAATGGATGTATGTTCTCATTTGCATTTTAAACTGGTCTATGTCAGATAATAATGGTCCTATTAATTTCATTCCAATAAACATTTGTGTAAATGAAACTGATTTATCTGACTACCTATCTGTAGAGGTGCCAGGATGTTCCTATCAACCCTGAAGCTGGATTTGGACCCAGAATAACAGTTAGTTCACAAAGCTGTTTTGGGAATGTGAGGAAGGTAATTTCTGAACTGAAGGATCAACTGGAGAATGTTTGCGAAAAGAAAACACCGGAGATTCATCACACAGGTTAAAAAATAAATACATTTTACATTCTGTCCATGTTAATATAGACCATGCAGAGAGAGAATGCAGTTAACCTCAGGTTTGTGTGACTAAGACAGATTCAGTTTTCAATAAGTTTAAGTCTTTGGGAAAACTGGTGAAAGCGCTTCACATTCTACAGGTTGCAAAACCCAGGTCACACAAATCATGTTTCTTCTAAATTATTGAATTCAAAAATCTGTAGGATGTGTAATGTACAATGATTTGCAGTTTGTTAAAATGCTTCTTATTGTCCCTCATAATGATAATAATCTACTACTGTTGTCTCCACAGTGAGTGAAGTCCATCTCCCACAAGTAAATTCCTTTTACTCACATCCCTGTTTCTCTCTGTCTCCTTCTAGTTACCAAAGACACCATCCCACCAGTTTCTGTTCCCAGCACCACAGCGGTATTGTTACAATGTGAGTCTGTTCACACACACGCTTCTCTCTCCCTGTATGAGGTGGAGTGTGTTTTATTGTCTTTCGTTTTCTTCTGCTAGTGGAGCTTCTCTTTCTCTCTCCCGCTGCCTCCTGGTCTTTCACATTTACATGAGCTGTTTATGTCAGGAGCCTTTGAATCCAACTGCAAAGCAAGATAAGTTTATTCAGGGTGATTTTCCACTGCACCAGGTACGGTACATTTGGTACTTCCCTTTTTCCACTGACTTCCAGTCGAGTACCAGTAACAGAAGTTCCAATACCCAAAATATCATTTCAGCTGGAGTACTTTTTTGGTACTTCGAAACTTTGAGGTGTATGACGTGTGTATGATGTGTAACTTACACTGATGTGCAGTTTGTTAAAATGCTTGATATTGCCCATCACTCTACCTACTGCTGTTGTTTCCACAGTGAGTGAATTAACTGCCACAAGTAAATTCCTTTTACTCACATCCCTGTTTCTCTCTGCCTTTATCTAGCTATTAAAGTGACTGTCCCACCAGTTTCTGTTCCCAGCACCACAGCAGAATTCTTACAATGTGAGTCTGTTCACACACACGCTTCACGCCTTTCACATTTACATGAGCTGTTTGTGTCAGTAACCTTTAAATCCAATTGCAAAGCAAGGCAAGTTCATTCAGGGTGCTTTTCCACTGCACCAGGTACGGTACTTTTGGTACTTTCCCTTTTCCATTGATTTCAGTTCGAGTAACAATACCAAAAGTTTCACTACCCAAAGTACCATTACAGCTGGGGTACTTTTTTGATACTTCAAAACTTTAACTTTAGGTGGGACTTGCAAATGCATTCAATGGCGTTCAAAATACAATTCATAAAGCCTAATAGCCAAACAAACAAAGAAATACTTAACTAAAAAGAGTTGAATTGCAAAGGCAGTATATACAGTATCTGAATTCTTGCTGATTTAATCTCTTTTTACATCAAGATTTCTGGCTTGATTTATAGATTTTTGTGTCCTTGATTCAATGTGAGCAATGACTTTCAGTCCTTCTTTTTCAGGGCTAAAACAATTATTTCAGCTTTTTCTGTCTTCCATTGTAGAAAATTCTGGCACATCTGCTCATTAATTCGTTCAATGTATTTTTAATTAAATCTAAATGGCTATACTCACATGGTGACACCGTAATGTAGAATTGTGTTTCATTTGGTTAAGTATGGTAAGAGATGTTATAAAGTTCCAGTATTCGTGAAAAGTGGTGACAGAGCTTCACATACTACAAGCTGCAAAACCCAGATTACATAAATCATGTTTCTTCGGCTTTATACAATCCAAAAATCTTTCTTATGTGTAACTTGCAATGATTTGCAGTTTGCTAAAATGCCTGTTATTGTCCCTCATAATGATAATACTCTACTGCTGCTGTCTCCACAGTGAGTGAAGTCCATCTCCCACAAGGAAATTCCTTTTACTCACATCCCTGTTTCTCTCTGTCTCTTCTAGCTACTAAAGTGACCATGTCACCAGTATCTGTGCCCAAAGCCACAGCAGGATTCTTACAATGTGAGTCTGTTCACACACACGCTTCTCTCTCCCTGTATGAGGTGGAGTGTGTTTTATTGTGTTTCGTTTTCTTCTGCTAGTGGAGCTTCTCTTTCTCTCTCCCGCTGTCTCCTTGCCTTTCACATTTACATGAGCTTGTTTATGTCAGGAGCCTTTGAATCCAATTGCTAAATATTGCAGCTGGGGTACATTTTTGATACTTCGGAACTTTGGGGTGAGACTTGCAAATGCGTTTGTTGATGATTTAAAAGACAAATTATAAAGCCTAAAAGCCAAACAAATAAAGAAATACTTAATTATACTAAAAAGAAGTTGTATTGTAGAGACAGTGTATCACTGAATTCCTGCTGATTTAATCTATTGAAAAGCTGCAACAAACAGTAATGTTTTCAGCCCTGATTATACTGAGCTGACAGCGTCAGCAAACCACACATCTTCAGGAAGCTTATTCCACACACGGGAAGCATAGAGACTACAATCTGCTTCACCCTGCTTGGTCTTGTGGTGCGTTCAATTATCTCTCCTAAGTCGTAAATTCCGAGGTGCGTGATGTCATGTCCGACCAATCTCCCATTCGAGCTTCACACATCTCGGAACAAACATGGCTGCCTCCACAAACACGCTGTTGTGTGTTGTTGTTTTACATTTTAGCAGATTTGGAGTGAGATTCATTTTTCCAAGAGACAAACAAACAAGAAACACAAACTAGTCAAACCACATTAAAAGTTTTACAATATTTTAGTAGATCCATAGTGATATTGTTTTTTCGAAAGGCAAACAAACTACAAACAAACAAAAGACACTAACAAGTATGGTAAAAATCTGAATTTGCATGCTAGGATACTGTTTACGTTCATGATATGGTATTCTCTAATTCGAACACGTGCAGTTACATTTATAACTATTGATACCTTTAACAAAATAAACATCTTAAAATATAAAATAGAATTACTCTTGACTGTGTAAGCCGCCATGTTGAAATGACGTCATAGGGGAATCTCGGACAACAAATTTCTGTCTGACATCAAGAGAGGCGTGTTTCCGACGAAAGGTGACGTTATTCATGACATTTTTATCCGAGTTTGAACTTGGAGAGATATAATCAAAGGCAGGATTGAGTCTGGGAAGACTGAGTAAACCTTTCGCAGATTAACGCATGGTATGAATCCCTCATAACATTCAAGGAAATCAGAAATAGATTTAGGGTGAAGACCATTTAGTACAGAAGTAATATTTTAAAGTCAATCCTATGATGAACAGGAAGGCAGTGTAGTGATTAAGGACCTATGTAATATGCTTTACTTCCTTGGTGTTAGGACTCTGATGGCAGGTTTCAGGGTGAACTGTAGCTGTCTGATTGATTTTTTGGCAAGACCTGTAAAGACACCGTTACAATAGTCTAGCCTGCTGACAATAACCACATGAACAAGCTTTTCTGTATCTTGTTTAGACATAAATCCTTAAAGGTGGTCGTAAGCTGATTTTGTAATTGTCTTTATGTAGCTGTTATAATTTAGGTCTCAGTCCAGAACTACACCAAGATTTCTAGCTTGATTTGTCGATTTTTGTGTCCATGATTCAAGGTGAGCAATCACTTTCAGTCTTTATTTTTTGGGGCCAAAATCAATTATGTTCGTTTTTTTCTGTGTTCAGTTGTGGAACATTCTGGCAAATCTACTCATTGATTCGTTCAATGCACTTTTAATTGTATCTAAGTGGCTATACTCACATGGTGACACCATAATGTAGAGTTGTGTTTCATTTGGATAATTATGGTAAGAGATGTTATAAAGTTCCTGTCACGTCCGCTGCACGAGCGGGGAGTGGGGAAGTAGATTCAGGAGACGAGGATCACAAAAACGGGGTTTATTGACAAAGCGGGGAGCTGCACAGGACAAACGTTAATGACAGATCTGGGGATACGAACTCAGACGTGGACTTAAATACACCGGATAAAACAAACTGACAGAAAACAGCTGGTCACACACAATCGGGGTAGCACACGTGGTTAATGAGCGGGCGTGGCACACACGAGGATCATACGAGCAGGTCATGACCGTTCCAGTACTTGTGAAAAGTGGTGACAGAGCTTCACATACTACAAACTGCAAAACTGAGATCACATGAATCATGTTTCTTCTGCTATATAGAACCCAAAAATCTGTATGATGTGTAACTTGCCATGATTTGCAGTTTGCTAAAATGCTTGTTATTGTCCCTCATAATGATAATAATCTACTGCTGTTGTCTCCACAGTGAGTGAAGTCCATCTCCCACAAGTAAATTCCTTTTACTCACATCCCTGTTTCTCTCTGTCTCTTTCTAGCTACTAAAGTGACCATGTCACCGGTATCTGTGCCCAAAACCACAGCAGGATTATTACAATGTGAGTCTGTTCACACACATGCTTCTCTCTCCCTGTATGAGGTGGAGTGTGTTTTATTGTGTTTCATTTTCTTCTGCTAGATGAGCTTCTCTTTCTCTCTCCCGCTGCCTCCTGGTCTTTCACATTTACATGAGCTGTTTATGTCAGTAACCTTTGAATCCAATTGCAAAGCAAGGCAAGTTTATTCAGGGTGCTTTTCCACTGCACCAGGTACGGTAGTTTTTTTAAATCAATCCTGTGATGCACAGGAAGCCAGTGCAGTGATTTAAGGACCTGTGTAATATGCTCTACTTCCTTGGTGTTAGTGAGGACTCTGGTGGCAGCATTCTGGATGAGCTGTAGCTGTCTGAGTGATTTATTACCAAGACCTGTGAAGACACCATTACAATAGTCTAGCTCTAGTCTGCTGACAATAACCGCATGAGCAAGCTTTTCTGTATCTTGTTTAGACAGAAATTCTTAAAGGTGGCCGTAAGCTGATTTTGGAATTGCCTTTATGTAGCTATTATAATTTAGGTCGCGGTCCAGAAGTATAGCAAGATTTCTGGCTTGATTTGTCGATTTTTGTGTCCATGATTCAAGGTGAGCAATCACTTTCAGTCTTTCTTTTTTGGGGCCAAAAACAATTATTTAAGGTTTTTCTGTGTTCAGTTGTGGAACATTCGGGGACATCCACTCTTTGATTCATTCAATGTACAGTAATACCTCGGACATTCACGAGGTTACATTCCAGAACCCGTCACGAATGAGGAGGATTCGCGGATGTTTGGTAGAGTCACTAAATTGGTAATATGTGCTTATTTCTATTTCTAAAACCCTAAATATGCTCCCAAAACACTTTAATTTCATTCAAAATTTAGCTTAATACTAGGGCTGTCAAAATTAACGCGTTAACGCGGATTAATCCATCATCATGATTAATCTGATTAAAAATTTTAATCGTTTGACAGCACTACTTAATACATTACAATTAAAAACCAACCCTTTCAGTGTTTATAGGAAATGCGTCTCAAGAGGGAAACCCGGTACGCATTTGCATTTGACTTAAATACACAGGACTAATGACAGCAACTCAAAACAGCTGATCACACGGGGAGTCCACACGAGGTAGATGAGGGGGCGTGGAACACGGGAGGATCGGACGAGCAGGTGATGACAGTTCCAAAGGGAATAAACTTGTAAAGGTACAGTACAGTATGTACATAAAAAGGAACTTTTCCATAAGAAAACCACGTTTTTAAGGGTTTTTTTTAACTGATTTATATTGTATGTCTTAAACTTTCCCCAAAAACACAGTAGAATCTAAACTAAATTTTAGTAGAACTAAATTTGTCTTACCAATTTTACATTAAAAGCATGACAACTTGTAAATTACTATGAAAATTAAACAAACACTTCTGTATGGTTTTCGGGGATTTTGCAGATGTGCGAAAAAATCGTGTATGCAGATAAGTTCAGTTTCCAATGAAATTTTCGCGGATCTGTGAATTAGCGATTCACAAAGTGCGAACGCACGAGGGTTTACTGTACTTTAAATTGAATTTAAGTGGCTATACTCACATGGTGACACCACAGTGCAAAGTTGTGTTTCATTTGGATAATTATGGTCAGAGGTATAAAGTTCCAATATTTGTGAAAAGTGGTGACAGAGCTTCACATACTACAAACTGAAAAACCGAGATCACGTGAATCATGTTTCTTCTGCTTAATAGAACCCAAAAATCTGTATGATGTGTAACTTACAATGATTTGCAATTTGTTAAAATGCCTGTTATTGTCCTTCATAATGATAATACTGTACTGCTGTTGTGTCCACAGTGAGTGAAGTCCATCCCCTAGAAGTACATTTTTTTAACTCACATACCTGTTTCTCTCTGTCTCCATCTAGTTACCAAAGACACCATCCCAGTGGAATTAGTGCCCAGGAACAAAGCAGAATTCTTACAATGTGAGTCTGTTCACACACACGCTTCTCTCTCCCTGTATGAGGTGGAGTGTGTTTTATTGTGTTTCGTTTTCTTCTGCTAGTGGAGCTTCTCTTTCTCTCTCCCTCTGCCTCCTGGTCTTTCACATTGACATGAGCTGTTTATGTCAGTAGCCTTTGAATCCAACTGCAAAGCAAGGCAAGTTTATTCAGGGTGCTTTTCCACTGCACCTAGTGCGGTACTTTCTGTACTTTCCCTTTTCCATTGATTTCTGGTCGAGTATCAGTATCCAAAGTTCCAGTACTCAAAGTACCATTACAGCTGTGGTGCTTTTTTGGTACTTCAGAACTTTGGGGTGCAGGGACTTGCAAATGTGTTCATTGTCAATTTAAAATACATTTTTAAAGCCTAAAAGCCAAACAAACAACAAAAAGTTAACTAAAAAGAAGTTAGACGCAGTGCAACTCCTTGAGAAGCTGCAGCAAACAGTAAAATTTTAAGCCCTGATTAAACTGAGCTGACAGTGTTAGCAGACCTCAGGTCTTCAGGAAGGTTGTTCCACAGACAGGGAGCATAGAGACTAAAAGCTGCTTCACCCTGCTTGGTCTTGATTCTGGCAACACTGAGTAAACCTTTCCCAGAAAACAGGAGGAGAGTATCAAAGACAACAAATTCACCAAATGACACTAACACCACAACCATATCTGCCCTACTAGATACATAGACACAGCCAGCTTCTGAAAGCTAGACTCCTCCCATCAGGAAGAGGCCAGGCCGGTTAGATTTTCCACTGGAACACTTTTGTATCAGTGATGGATTGCCTTGAATTTCAAATGGATAGGGCTTAACAGCCAGGAGCAGCAATCCTGTTCTTGACAAAGATCCGGGCCCGACGCCTGTGTCCCTTCTCCTTACGGGACACAGAAAGGCGGGGTCCTGGGGAGTGTCGGCCTCGCTGGGGCAAGGGCGATGGAGTCATAAGGGAGGTCCCCGAGGGGTCCCACTCAAGCTCCTCCTCCTCCAAGGAGAAAGGAGCGGGGGTCTGAATGTCTGGGACCTTCTCGGGGACTGGGGCCAGTGCTGGGGGAACAGGAGTCAGTGCCGCAGGCGATGCAGCCGGAGCCGCGGGCATGGCCGCAGGCGGTGCAGCCGGAGCCATGGGCTGGACAGGCAGGACAGGCGAGCTGGGCTGGACGGGCAGGACAGGCGGGGCCGCGGGCCGAGCGGCGGCCAACAGGGGGCGCCTCGGCGGGCACCTCGGGCGCGCGGCCAGCAGGGGGCGCCTCAGCGGGCACCTCGGGCGCGCGGCCAGCAGGGGGCGCCTCGGGCAGGTCTGGAACAGGCAGGTCCGGAACTGCCCTTTTAAGGGCTTTAGGGATCCGGGGAATAGCGTCCCTTACGGCGCTGATCCCCTTACCGACCAGACTCGCCGGCCGGTAGTGATAAGCCTCCAAGGGAGGCGGCTTCTCACTACGGCTGATCAGGCAAGCAGCAGCGGTGTCCTCCCAGGTGAGCGGGAAGCTCCCTCGCCCACTGGCAGAGATGACAGCGGGGCGAAGGGAGCAAGCCCCCATGAAGATCGCCAGGGCTTCTTCCCCTCCTTTTCCCCTGCGCTTCTTCTTCTTTCGCCGGCCAGGACAGGTACAGTAGGTGGAGGCGTGGTTGCCTCTAAGAAGGAGATCGGCGACTGCCGCTTCTCCTTCCATTCGCGGACAAGCTGTTGCAGGAGAGCGCGCACTTCCGCCATCGCGTGCACTTCGGTGCGTGGGGTAACCTCATGCAGGAGGGTCCAGCTTTGCTCTGCCAGGGCGTATAAGCCGAGATCCTCTCGGATCTCCGGCTGCTCTCGCTAGTAACTCACCTCGTGCAGCAGGACGAGCCATAGGTCCTCGTCCTGCCGCGGTGAGTCTTTAGGGAGTTCTGTCATTCTGTCACGTTCGGCGGGCGGGCGAATGAGGGAGTAGGCGAGAGAGCCGTGATTTCAGGAATACGGGGTTTATTCTGGACAGACAGGCCACGAACATGAAACAATACAATGACAGAACTGGGGAATACTGACCGAGACATGGACTAAATACTAAAGACAGGCTGAACTGAACAAGCAACAGGTGATCACAATCAGGAATTAACACGAGCTAACGAGGTGGGCGTGGCACACACGAGGATCGGACGGTGCTGGGCGTGACACACTGAAGCAGAAAACTTTGTGAAAACCAATACTTGTGTCATTCTCAAAACTTTTGGCCATGGCTGTACATGTCTGTCAGTTCTTTAACTCGCTTTCCAACTGATTCTCTCATTCAAGTTGCTTTTTCTTCTCATATGATGACTATGATATTATTTTTTCCCTCTGATCACAGCCTTACCTATTACTCATTATAGTGATGCTGTGCTTTCCAGAGAGTAGTTCATTTCCATAAATGATGCCCATTCTCTATGTATGAAAGTAATTTGTAGTAGTTTGTCAACATCTATATATAAACACGTTTATTGTTTTTCCTATTGTCTTTTAATATTCGATAAAGTTTCTTGCAGCATTTGTTACTTTCTTGCAGAAACTGGTCACTGTGTCCGATTTTATTCATTTTACTTCTCTTCCTCTTTTTCACGAGCTCTTTCTGCTGAAAGTGTTCAAATTTGGCGACGATGGGTCTGGGTCTCTTAGCTGATCATGTTCTGATTCTGTTGACTCAGCGAAATATAATACTGTTCACAGTGTCCAGTGTTAAATTTAGGTGTGTTTTCATAAAATCTTTAACCAGTTTCTCAGGATTGTCATTTGACTTTCCTTGTATTCCAGAAAGGATTAGGTTATGCTGCATGCTTTGTGTTTTTAAGTCCAGAATAGTTGTTTACCCTGGGTGTCTGATTTTTTTTCAGCCTTTAAAATTATTGGGAGCAATATTTAATTTCATAAAGGTATAGTTGAGTAGGACATACGTTTGTTTATTGTTATTAAATGGTGTATTTGATTTTCTGGAGGAAAATTATTTTTTTATAGACTGATCACTAAAATAGTCAATTAAGATTAGATAGATTAATCCATAGCCACAATTAGCTTAATGTTTTCCATGTTGAACATCTACCATCTACCTGAACATCTACCTGTTTTCCATGTTGAACATCTTCGGCATGTAACACTTTATACTAGATCACTAATCACTAGTTCATGCAGGATATAATAAATAAATAAACCACAGTTAACTTGTACTTTTGGTACCTTAAATTATTTAGAATGCATATCACTAACAGTAAAATACAGTAAGAGGCAACACTTATCATGCAAAAACTGGAAGTTTCAAGATACTGCTTTGAGAAAAACTTCCTTTCGGGTGCTTCTGTTGTAAGAAAGGTTTGTTGTCCTAAGACAGCACCTGTAGTCTTTCCCAAACTGGCTGTGACACGAACATCTCCTTAGTCTGTGCTTATCGTTGCTGGAAGGAGTTGAGTGTGGAAATTTCCACACATATAAATTGAATATGCTGGTCTTTGTGACGGGATTAATCGCTCTTCCTCTTGCCTACAGACTCCTGCCAGTTGACATTGGACCCCAACACAGCAAACAGATACCTGTCTCTGTCTGAGGGGAACAGGAAGGTGACATGGGGGGCAGAGCAGCCATATCCTGATCATTCAGAGAGATTTGACTGGTGGGACCAAGTTCTGTGCAAAGAGAGTCTGACTGGTCACGCTTACTGGGAGGCTGAGTGGGGTGGAGGTGGAGCTGAAATAGGAGTGACTTATAAAGGAATCGGGAGGAAAGGATGGAGTGATGACTGTCGGCTTGGAACCAATGATAAGTCATGGATGCTGATCTGCTCTCCTTTCCGTTACTCTGTCTGGCACAATAATAAAGAGACTGACATACCCATTCAGCCCTCAGGCTCCCGCAGAGTAGGAGTGTATCTGGACTGGATGGCTGATACTCTGTCCTTCTACAGAGTCTCCTCTGAAGGACTGACCCTCCTGCACAGCTTCACCTCCTCATTCACTGCACCCCTCTGCCCAGCGTTTTGGGTTTATTATACAAACTCCTCCGTGTCCCTGTGCATGCTGGGATAGCTCACTGTGTGCTCGAGGAATCATTTTTACCTTATCAGAGTGTCACATGTCGCTGCTTCTCTGTGGCAAAAAGGTAAAATCTCTGCTTTTTAACCAGTAAAACCATTTGTACTCTCTCTGAAGTGGGATGTATGTTAGGCAAAAATAAATGACTGGGTTCAGCAAACTGAACAAACATGCAAAATGCCTGTTTTTCTCTCTAATTAAAATGTCATAAAAAGTCATTCTCGTGGGGGGTGGCGGTTTTTTCCCTCCCCTGTACAAGTACATTTTATATATTTCTGTCTTGATTTGCGCTCATTTGTATTTGCTACCTGTACACTGACAATAAAGGCTTTCTATTTTATCCTATTAATGTCCTGGATCAGTGCTACTCAAAGTGTAACTGAGTAACACACTTAATCCGCGCTCTCTGGTGATTGAGCGCAGCAGCCTGATATTGCAGCGGTGATGCTTTGGCCAGCAGGGGGCGCCAGACGGCAGCGTCCTAATCTGACATTTTGTTAACTGAAAATCGACAAGATAATAACGTTCTTCACAACCAACAGCGGCCCTGAGGCAACTGAGTACAGATAAATCACGTAACACAATTAAATAACTTCACTTTACTGCAATTGAACATAACACAATTAGACAAAATCAGCATTTATAATAATCATGTAAAAGTATACAGGAGACATAACAGCACAAGTAAAAATCATCTGTAGAGTTGAAAACATAAAAATTGTGAAATAATAATAAATTATAAATAATAACACATGTTATTAAACGGCCAAAGTACAAGCAAGAATAAAAATTTCCTAATTAAAATGGTGAACTGCTATATCTGACAATTGACAAGCTAATTAGTATACGGTGTCTCTCTCACCCCTATTAAAATATATGGAAGGAATCATTAAAAACCAAAGTCCTTACTACGTAAATTAATGGCATTAAATAATTAAATGTTATTCATTTTTTCAAAAGAAGACGTAACATATTTTTACTTCTTACAGTAAGATACGGATTAACTTCAGACGGCTGAACCTCACATCCGCCCCCTACTGCCGTCCTGAGGTAACTGCGGGTTTCCTGTCGGTCGCAGCACAGGAGACGCTGCGGTGCCTCAGTTAACGTCCCCATCACAACACGCCAGATATGGTTAACGGGTACAGTCATTATTTAACACACAGTAAAACATTAACCTGATAAAATACTATTAAAATTAAAGTACTACAACTAAAATAAAAATGTGAAATAAAATATTTTTACAGAAGTGGATTAGGGCCATGTGGAATAAATTTCAGAGAATTCTGAGAAAAAAGTCAGAATTGTGAGAACAAAGTCTGAATTCTGACATCACAGTCAGAGGCTGACTGCAGACCTCAGGCCACATGAAGACACGGAGCAGATGTCTGTCCCTTGTTCAGGGGTATAAGTGGAAATGTCAGTGTTGGTGGAAAATGACAACTGGCAGCATTCTTGTGCATTCGTGGAGTTTCAGAAGAAGCCATTGCACATTCGGAAGAGCAAAAGGTAAGTGAAAAAGTAAATCTTGGTTGTATTATTGTGCCAAAAGGTTTAACATTAGCAATAAAATTTGAAGTAAGCTTCAATGTTATGTGTCCAAATGAGCATGTAACATGTAAATCAGGTCTGTGATGACTTTAAACATGATGTTAACCTGTTCAGGTGATACCAGCTAACTGTAATGACCCACTCTGTGCCATTGTTCAGTGTTTCATGTCAGTAGCTACGCTTTCAAGGTAGGTTTTTGTGAATCGCAATACAGTCATTCCTCAGTATTAAATATTTCCATGATCACTGAATAAAGTGACCCGATCAATACGTGTGTATGCAAGGGCAAGAGCTTTGTCGTCTTCTGGTGCACATCAGGACAGTATACACTCCGCAATTCTGTCTTCTGACCCACAGCTCTCCAACACAATTTTGCTTTGCAACTGCCATATTTCCCAAAAATTGTTATGTGTGAAATCCACTGCAACAGCCAAAGCTCAGGCATGCTTAAACTGCTAATGTGTGTAGATATTGTGGTTTCACTACCAAGACAGTATACTTGATATATTACAACATATCCAAATGTATGACTTATTACAATCACATAAGTTTATAATAATACGACATCAGCAAATTGATGCTTATCAAAATATCCAGTGATGGTGTTGGTCTTGCTATAATTAGCATAGATGCTTGAACAGATGCCAAGTTCATCTGGGACACCTCTGGGACTGCGGTTTCAGTCTTTGCTCCATTTGTGTGGAGTTTACATGTTCTCCCCATGTTGTCGTGGGGCTTCCTCCAGTTCCAAAAATAGTGATTTGGAGTTATCAGCTCATCCACATGTGTCAGTGTGACTGTGAGTGTCAGTGTGCCTGTGAGTGTCAGTGTGAATGTGAGTGTCAGTGTGCCTGTGAGTGTCAGTGTGCCTGTGTCAGTGTGCCTGTGAGTGTCAGTGTGCCTGTGTCAGTGTGACTGTGAGTGTCAGTGTGGCTGTGAGTGTCAGTGTGGCTGTGAGTGTCAGTGTGCCTGTGAGTGTCAGTGTGCCCTGCAATGGGTCGGCACCCCATCCTGGGCAGCTTCTACGATAGGCTCCAGTCTCACACAACCCTGAACAGGGTTTTTTGGTGTCATAGGGAGAAAAGAGAAAAATGCCTTATCGAGTCGTATTTTATCTCACAGTTTATACCCCAATGGCTTTCCATAAAACTGAGCATTGCCATAGCAGGGTTCCCAGTTATTTATGCTGTGTCCCTGTTTGCTACCCTTTACCTAAGCAGATGTGGTCTCTGTGCCTTTAAAGCAGACATACTCACATGCACACAGATATATGTCATATATTTCACACCCAAAAATGTTTACTGCTAATGTTTAAAAGTAAACTTGTGCTATTTAAGCATGGTTATAAACATTGCTAAGAAATGCATTTCAATAAATGACAGAGGGAAGAAAATCCTTTGATCTCAAACATTAGTATTTAATCACAAATACACAACACTAGGGGAGGAGGGTTAAGGAGGGTTTTGGAAATTAAGGAGAACTGTCTGTGGCGGTGGTAAGTAGATTATGGTGAGAGAAGTGACTGATACTCAGCCAAATCCATGGGATAATATGAAACCCACTCCATAAATAAACAAACACAGACCAACCCCAATATAAACCCAGCAGTTTGGAATTATCTAGATTTGTGCAAGAATGGCTCCTTGTGACCTGTGGCCTGTATCATGAAGTGAGATTTGTTGGTTAGCTAGATAACTTGTCGGATTAAAGGTACCCCAGTTTAAATGGATTTTATTTTCATTCACTTATACTTGTTTTTTGGCTGGGGGAACTATCACAACTGAAAGGAAGAGGATATATCTGATAGCTGACTAAGGGAAAGCTGGGGTTTGTGAGGGAAGGTTGCCATGGTAATGGTGAACAGCCCATGAGCAGCTGGGAGGGGGAATTCTGTTTGTGATAGACTGAGCTATTAATATGAAGTATGTAAGGACATTATAGGATCTCACAGGTAACCTTGCATAAAAACTGTCAGTAAAAACGACATGTAACAGTAGATCAATAGGTAATTAATCAATCGTATAATCAAAATATATGCACTCAATATGCAAGATTGGAGGTCATGAGTAGGGAGGAAATCCAAGATTGGACATGCTATATGGTAACCAATCATATTGAAGGTCTTGTAAGGGGGGTTGACAAAGTATATAACAGAGCTTTTAGGGGGTGTGCAAGCACCTGGGTTAAGCAGAGCACTCTGTCATGCTAATTTGCATCATCTCACTAATAAAGAAGTTTAAATTCCCAACTTAGAGTTATGGACTTAGTTATGTTTCTGTCTAGAGCTACGATATAGGAGGGTCATTTTTTCTTCCATGACAGCTGTACCAGCCTGCACTACTACATGTTCCCTTAATGTTGCACCTTCTGCTGATTTGAATAATAGTCTTATTAGGTTCGTGTTTTGTTAAAGCTTGTTGTGTAGGTGTCGTGTAGCTCTTGCTCTGGTATCATTAAAACACGACTTTAAAAAAATCCTAAAAGTATGTGTGGTTTTGGGAAGGTGTGAGCTCTGAGCTTGTTTGCTGTCCCTCCATAGACACTCTGTGTGTGAAGTTTGCATGTTTCACCAACATGAATTTTCTCCCCATCCTTCAGAGACTGAAAACATATTGGGATCTCTGAGCTGCCTTTAGTGTGTGATTGTGCGTGTGAGTGTGTGCTCTGCTATAAACTAGTATCCTATCCATCGTGTCCCCTGTCCTTAGTGTGTGATTGTGTGTGTGAGTGTGTGCTCTGCTATAAACTAGTATCCTATCCATCGTGTCCCCTGTCCTTAGTGTGTGATTGTGTGTGTGAGTGTGTGCTCAGTTATAAACTAGTATCCTATCCATCGTGTCCCCTGTCCTTAGTGTGTGA